AAACCAAGAAAAGAGGAAGATGAGTTTTAGGAAATTGAGTCCTGATTTTGACAGTAACAGGTGTACTGACGACTATGTAAATGATCTTGAGTTACAAATCCAAACTGGAACCAGAGGAGGGACGGCTTGAGAAATGATGGAAAGAGCTAGAAAAGACAAGGGCATCAAAGGGCAGAATAAAAGCTCTTATATCATTTGAGAAAGTAAAGGTCCAGATGGAAGCAAAATGTAACATTTAAGTCATGGTGAGGATGCTAAGAAGAGAGACTTTGAGCTCAATGCCAGGGAGACTGTGTTCTTTGAGAGGGCATGTGAACTACTGGAAATGCGGTCCTGGCTTACTGCTTGGTGTGTTCCTGAGCAGTATTAACATAACCTTCATGTAAATGCCATGCATTATTCTCCAACCTATTATGGGCAGACCCACCTAGAAGGTGGGAGAGCATGTAAATGTCAACAGCTTTAGCAATATGAATGGGGAATAATGCAGTGTGGAAGGAAAGAAGAAACATTTTGGTGCAAAGAGAAAACATTTATTTCTTTGTTTTTCTTTCTAGATCATCCTTCTCCAAGAAGCCACTTTGAAAGTTTGGCCCACTGTGGTGGGAAGTTGTGAGAAGTCAGCCGCTGCCTGGAGGGTCTTATGAAATGAATAATGGGAGTCTGCCTACAAGCCTTTTTTCAGCCTTAATTCTCATGATTATGTACAAATTAACATAGCTCATCTACCTATTTACTTTAATGAAGTTCTACAGAATAAAAAGAAAGTAATTTTGCTATCTTGGTGTTAAAATGTAAATCATAGCACTGATAGACTGTGCTGCAGTGTCACTGCCATCCTATCTGAACCCATCTGTTGGGCAGCCCCCTGGAGCTGAAGAAGCAAATTGCAGTATGTACTTTGTGATCAGTTGTGTTTAAAGTGGGGAATATGTTCATGCTTGTGTATCTCTTCAAGGACCCATGATTCAGGAGACCTAAGAAGGTCAGAGTGGAGTAGGGTATGAAGGAAGATTTGCCTTTTTATCTAATACCTTTCTATATTGTTCATTTCCCACCCCCATCCTAGGGAAGTATTGCGTATATAGGTTTGCGTATATATGAGCTTCCTTGGAATTCCCATTTCTATCATAGCATTAGCACCATTAAGTCCTTAGGAAGGAATGTCATAGCACTAGACATAGGTTAATCCTTTTTACTCTTGCTGGTTCAGCAGTTGTTTATTGAGTTGCTACTAAATGTCTGGGCTTTTCTATAGAATTTAATTTTTCCTAGAATATTCTAACTTTTCTTGTGAGAGACCTGTCATCTCAAAGTAAGAGCTAACCTTTGCTTAAAAATGTGTAAATATTAACTATGATAGAATAGATCTCTAAATTAAGTTAGTATCCCCATTTTACAGAAAGGCAAACTGCAAGATTGCACTGCCAGGGCCTGCATCATGAACTTGTAAGTTGTTTTGTTTCCAAAGTCTTTTCTCTACCATCAGTCCGTCTCTCCAAGCTCTACCTAGAAGGCAACTCCTGCCAGGTTGTGAGAGGTGGTAAGCTGTGTCTTTTTTATATCCCTCCAGAAGGAAGGAATGATAAGGGTAGAAGAAGCTAAGAGAGGAAATAGAGGTTAGAAGGCTGCTGAGCAGTCCTGATGGCATGGGTTTTGTGAAATTGCTTTTTCAGTCTTTGATAAAGAAGATGTGTCACACGTACCAGCTTACAGATGCTATTTCCACAATGAAAGAAGGCACAAGCAGCCAAATAACAGCAGGTCAAGTGAAGACTTGTATTAAAGACCATAGAAGCATTGGTGCGTGGAGTGCTTATGTGTGTCACCAGAGAAGGCCCAGTGTTTTCACCTTGGGGTTGGGAGTTACTTTTGATCACTGCTTCCCTGTGTCTGTTCTTACTGTTCTCTGGGCTGTGACTGCGTTCCTTCCCCATATTAGTCATCTTACTGCTAGGCTGTTGCTGTGAATTGAAAATGTATAGACACTTAATTCAAATTGAGTCAGCAACATTTATGTGCTGCCAATTAAAGCAGATTCCAGAAGAACTGCTGTTGGGTTTCTGGTGGCTCTCTGCAACTTTCATGCTACCCCCAGGCAGATCAACCATCAGCAAATTGGAACCACAGTTTCACTTCATGGTGTGCTAGGGAAAGGGGCTGAAGGACTTTTTCTCAGAAGACCTCTGAAATGTTAAGACTCTTGAAGGGCTTACCCACTTCCACAGCTCAGGCCTGGACTGTGGGTGGGTAGTGACCAGAGTTGGAGAAATGGTATGATGGTATGATTCAGATAAATGTGTAAACTATTTTATTGTCACACTGTATCTGGTGATATTACATGATAAACTGTAAGTAGGGTAATTTCTCATCAAATTGGAGAGACATTTATAGCCCATTTCCTATTACATAATGCAAAGCTACTAATAGAGTAGTAGACAATGATATGGGTAATAATTTCAACAGTCTTAACTGTCACTTAAGTGCATTCAGGGATGACAGATTTCTTTCATGTATGAGGTACTGGATACATTTTTTAAAAAATAGATCTGGCATCGGGTTCTAGTCAAATCCTAAAGAAAAACCACAGTGCAGTATTTTATTTATAGTACTATACTCAGTGTGAATGACTATGTGTGGTAGAAGTCAGGGACAAGTTATTTGTAATATACCTCAAAGAAATCTCTTAATTTGTCTTTCAAATACAAGATAAATTTACCTCTGACCTCAAACTGCTTTTCTGCTCCCTTTTACTTTTTTTTTTTTTAAGCAAGTAGAATAAGATCTACGAGTCATTAAGGTGGACTTTATATCATTCAACATGAATCTTTCTTCATTTCCCAGTGCTCTCTACTAAGACAGCTATTCTGCCCTGTCCTCATCTAGGTAAAACATCCTTATTGTTGCCTAAAACTGCTGCAAATTCTCAGGTCCACTAGATTTGAAGAATCTTGGAGTTTGAGTATAAGTGGCATGAATTTCTTTTTGCTCTTATTTATTTGTGCAGAACTGGGGTTTGAGCCCAGGGCAGTTTGCCACTGAACTACATCCCCAGTCTTTTTATTTTTATTTTGAGTCAGGATCTCAGTATGTTTCTGAGATTGGTCTCAACCTCCCAAGTCACTAGGATTATAGGTGTGGACCACTAAGTTCAGTTTTTTTGCCTTGTTTAAGCTTCAAAACTGGCAGAAGCAGGGTTAGCAGCCCATAAGGAGATATCAAAGCCATTTTCACACACCTATGATTGTTGGATAAACAGTGCTAAACTGAATTTCTTAATTCAGATGCTTATAGATGTTTATGGGTTTCCTGCTTTACAGCTCTTATCTGCAAATTTAAGATCCTGACAACTTCAATTCAGCTTTGTTGGATTATTTGTTTGTTTGTTTGGTTTTTTTTTTGGAGGGGGGTACTAGGGATTGAACCCAGAGGTACTCAACCATTGAGCCACATCCCCAGCCCTTTTTTTATATTGCAATTAGAGACAGAGTTGCTAAGTGCTTCATTAAGTTGCTGAGACTGGCTTTGAACTTGCAATCTTTCTGCCTTAGCCCCCTGAGCCACTGGGATTACAGGCGTGGACTGCTGTGCCCAACTTCAGTTTGTTTTTGTGCAGTTTGTTCCTTAATAAGTCTTGGTGGAATGATCTTACAAAGTGGGGTTGGGGATTTAGCTCAGCTGCAGAGCACTTGCCTAGCACACGCAAGGCCCTGGGTTTGGTCCTCAGCCCTGGGGGAAAAAAGGAATTAAAAAAATCTTACAAAGGTAAAAGGTGTTCCTGGGAAAACATTCAAAAATGGAGACACACACACACACACACTAAGATGATGGTCCCATTGAAGAAAGAAGTGCTGCTGTTTTTCAGGAGTTCTTCCTTCCACCATCTGGAGGTTCTGCTGAAAAGGTTCAGGGAGGAGGCTGGACCTCACAGCTGAAGCTCCCAGGAGTGCTCCCAAAGCAAGTCAACCTAAGCTTTCATTGGGTGTTACATTCATGCTTTGTGTTTACAAATAAGTACTTGTGCAGTTTTTAACCATTTTTAGGTAAAGGCTCAGAAAATCCATGAAAATAAAATACCATCAGGCCGGAAGGTAGAAAATGCCTGAACCCTTTGACAGACTGGAATAGTAAGAAATGTCCTCTCTTCCACGCCCGCTTAATTAAGAGAGACAAAGTTAATCACATAATGAATTATATGCTTATAACATAAGTAACTTAAAGCTATTTCAACTTATTTTAGGAAATATATGTAAGTTATTAAAAGTGGTGGGACTTGGAGCTGAGGTTGTGGCTCTGGGTAGAGTGCTTGCCTAGCATATGTGAGCCCTGGGTTTGATCCTCAGTACCACATATAAGTAAATAAATTAAATAAAGGTATTGTGTCCACTACAATTTAAAAATATTTATTAAAAAAAGAAGTGGTGGGACTGCGATCCGTGCCCTTCTCACCTTGTTGGCTTAGATGTTGTCATCTCCACCTCCTACTGGGAGTCAGGTCTGAGAGCCTGTTTGGCAAGAACCATGACAACTTCATATTCAAAGCCACTGCTGGGAAAGTTTTGTTTCTTTTTGTTTGGATTTATATGTAATTTTCTTTCCAACTGACACTTCACTACTCTATGCACTTTGAATCCTGCTTTTAAAATTAGACGTCTGCCTTGTCTTTCAATATTCGTGGAGGTAATTTAATGGGAGTGCCTATAATTTAAAAAAGGATTTTGCTACTTTGAAAAATGCGGGGTTCTCTTCTTTGGTCACCTCCCCCATCTTACCACTCTCTCGGTGGTACCTCTGCCCTTGCCCTGATTTGAGACCGCAGGGAGAATTCGCATCACCGGCTATGATCCAGAAGGGAGCTCTCCAGCTGGCTGCAAACTATTCACAGGTGGATCCCCCATTCCCAGCGCCCCCGCCCCTAGGGTTGCCCCGCCTTGCCTCCGGCCCCGCCCCGCCGCTCCTCGCGCATTGGTGAGGCCGGCTGTCAATCTTCAAGCTGCTGGGGAAGGGGCGCAGCCTGGCTGCAGTCCCTCTGCAGAGGGCTGTTTGCTCAGGGTGCGAGGTGGTTCCCAGGCTGTCTGGGCGCAGTGCTGCGCAAGATTGCCCAACCTCAGCAGTGGAGTTCACGCCAGCGCTAACGGTAAGTGAAGGCAGGTTAGAAGGCTGCGGAGGCGGTGGGTCGGAGAAGTGTCAGGTCCGCTCACCTCCTGTGCGGCAGAGTGGGTGGGAGGTGCCCTCACTACAAGGGGGACCCGGGTCCTCCGAGATGGCCAGGAATGAGAACCTAGAAGGTCATTAGTCCGCAGGCGTCTCCCACCTACCCACTTGGCTTTACCGCTAGTACCAGAAGCATGGGTTACGGTATTTCCCCCCTCTCCTTTACCCTGTTTTGGAAAATGTGACTTGAGATTCCTGACCATTATAATTTTACAGATAGCTTGAAGCTTGGTTATCTGTTCCACGCCCCCGACATTTTCCTTTTTGAGTACTTTATCCTGAGCGCTCCATATCCTGCCATAAAGGGTATCAAGCCAGAGAGATTCATTCCTCCAGAAGGAAGCTTCGTGGTCCATATCTGGTGCTCGGGAAAGATGCTTTGCTTTCCTCAGGTAGTGGTTGCTCTTTGCTGCAAGGCATAGAAGGGAGGTGGTATTTTATGTGGCATTAGAGACGTAAGATTCGGTGAAAAACGGGGGCTTTAAGGTTTCCTGAGTCAGTGAAGCTACCCTTGCAGGTTAAGGACGAGTCATTAGCAATCTAACATTCTTCTAAGTTTTAATGTCTACAGACTGCCTCCCGCCCTCCCCCACCTCCACTTCTGTTAGGCTTCTGTTTGGATGTTTGTTTCTACAGCATGATATACATTCAAGTGAGCTTTACAAGCAGTTGTCTTAGGGCAATTCAGGTTAGTTTCTAATGATACATTCTTAAAAATAATCTATTTTCAATATTTCTATTAGTAATACATCCTCTGCTTACTAAAAATGCTTAAGCTCTGAGAATGCACAAGAGATGAGAAGACTTGAGTTACAATCAGCTGAGGTTATGGTGCTGATTGAAGCATTATGAGTGAAAGATACTGTAAAATGTTCATATTTTCTGCTATCGTTCTAGAATGACTTTGTCTTAGAAGCATGAAGTATGCCATACTGAACCTAAAAATATATTTCCTTAGATCATAAACTGATTTTCCAGAATTCCAGTTCACAAAACCAAGGGCTACCCAAATGAAACTTCATTTAGGATTTACATAAAAAACAGTTGAGAAAATAATTCACTTGCGTATTTTAGGATACCAACTAAAATTTATAGGATTTTTTTGTTAGGTAATCACCTCATATCTGCATTCTTTGATGCTATCATACTACTCTGTGGATTAATTTTAAATACTCCTTCATATTTTTGTTTAGCCTATCAATTGCCAATTGCATGGCGTATCAATTTATATTTAGCTTTTAAATTGGTTCCAGAACCAAAAAATAAAAAGACTTTCAAAAGCTTGGTTTTAAAATAGTAAGAACTCAGTCTAGGTTCAATTATGAGTTGATGGGCTGCATTATGGTTAATTAAATGACCATTAAACAATTTTTTTAAAATTTGACTAATGGATTTATTGAAGATAAGAAAAAAAAATAGTTTTCTGATGAAACTCTTAAAGCCCAGTTTCAGAGCATAGGTTTTAGAAACAGGCAGCGCTAGGCTGAATGTGAGCCTGTGACCTAACTTTGTAATCTTAGGAAAGCTGTTTCATCTGTAGACAGAGATACTACCACCCACTCATTTGGTAATATCCTGGTTCAGGTTAGAGATGTATGTAAAAGTGCTCAGCATGGACTAATACACAAGAGTTGCTGAACATATGTCAGCTATTATCATTAACTTGTACCAACCTCCAACTACGTGCATACCACAGTGGAAAAAGTATGAACAGCAAACACTTAAGTGAAACACCAAAGTTATAGAACTAATTTGAGAGTGGAGATTGACAGTGATGTTAAATTTTCCTAAGAGTATGTATGAAAACTAGCACCTTCTTGATAGAACATACACTTTTAGAACAGAAACTTTATGGTACAATGGAAAGAACTCTAGAGAGTCAAAATCTTCTAACTATGGCTATGACCTTATCTGCCAAGTGCCCCCTCTGGAGCTCAATTTTGTCATCTGGCTGGACCTGAATGACCTCAAGTAATCTCTGATGTCCTTTGCAGCTTCAAAATTCTTTATATTAGATTATTTGTCATCCTGCCCTTCACTGTTTTTTGTTGTTTGTAGTTGTTTTTTGCTAAACTTACAATTTACGATCATTAATAATTCATGAAGACAAGCCCAACTAAAGAATTGACAATATCAGACTTGCAGAGTAATCCAAAATGAAATTTCCACAAAAAAGAAAATATATATTCATATCAAAATATTTTTGATAGGGCAAAAGTAGAACCCCAATTTCTACTCTTTAGTCATTTGGGAAGTTACTATATGGAAAACATGCCCAGTAGAATCTACATTCAACTGAAATAATGTTCACAGAAAATAATATTCTCATGGTCAAATAAAATACCATTTTTTTAATTCTCATCAGGTTGGTCTTGAAATAGAAGACCTTTCATGAAGAAATTAAAAAAGAAATTGCAACCAATAGAGAAATGAGGCATCTGTATACTAGAGAAAGCCCTAAAACAACCGTATAAAGTAGGATGAAAGGAATGAATATACCTGGGAGAGATTTTACTCAGTGTGAATATTTTTGTCCACCGGTTTGCCCTAAAAGGCTGCCTAAGGAAGAAATAATATAGTTTTCTAGAGAATGAAAGAGTGTGGTGTAAATATGGAGACCACAGTTTCTGAAATTCAAGTAGAAAATAAGGATGAAATGAAATTAGCAGAAGTCAGTCCTCAGAATGAAAGACATGAGGAAAAAACATCCATGCTTTGCTTCAAGAGAAGAAAGAAAGCAGTCAAGGCAGTGAAGCCCAAAGCTGTCTCTGAGGCTGCCAATGTGGCAAGGGAGTGTCGGGTAGAAGCAGGAGCTTCTGATCAGCCACAGCACCCAGGGGGCACCTGGGCCTCAATCAAACGTCTAGTAACACACAGGAAAAGGTCAGATTCTTCAAAGCAGCAAAAGTCATTTAAGGCTGAAGTGCAACCTGAAATAAAGGATGAGGATGCTGATCTTCCTAAGAAAAAGGTAAAATCCAGAATTAAGATTCCCTGCATAAAATTCTCAAAAGGTGCACAAAGAAGTAATCATTCCAGAATTACAGAAGACTCAGACTGCACCATCAAAGTCCAAAAAGAGGCTGAAGGGTTGGATATACAAACTCAGACCCAATTAAATGACCAGGCAACAAAGGCTAAGTCAGCCCAGGACCTAAGTGAAGGCGTCCTGCAAAAAGATGGTGATGAGGTCTGTGAATCAAATGTGAACAGCAGCATAACATCTGGAGAGAACGTGATTTCAGTAGAACTTGAATTAGATAATGGGCATTCTGCTATTCAAACAGGAACTCTAATCCTTGAAAAGGAAATTGAAGTGATTGAAGAAAAACAAAGTGTTCAACCCCAACAAGCAAGCCCGCTTGCAAGTTCAGAAACAGACAACCAGCAACTAGTGGCTTCTGATGTTCCTCCATCTCCTGCAATCCCAGATCAGAAAACTGTGGAAGAATCCAGTAACAGTGTCCTAGAAAGCAGACCATACTGTGAAGACTATGAAAGTAGAGAGATGGTAGCTGAAGAGAATAAGCCAAAAGATACTGAATTGAGCCAGGAATCAGATCTGAAAGAAAATGGGATCGATGCAGAGAAACCCAAATCAGAAGAAAGCAAAAGAATGGAGCCAATTGCTATTATTATTACAGACACTGAAATCAGTGAATTTGATGTTAAGAAATCTAAAAATGTCCCAAAGCCATTCTTAATTTCAATAGAAAATGAGCAAGTAGGGGTTTTCGCTAATGATAGTGGTTTTGAGGGTAGAACTCCAGAACAATATGAGACACTCTTAATAGAAACAGCTTCTTCTCTTGTCAGGAATGCTATCCAGTTGTCTATAGAACAGCTGGTTAATGAAATGGCCTCCGATGATAATAAGATAAACACTCTCCTACAGTGACTTAATTTCCAGGTCAAGGAAGAAAAGCTTAACCATTTACACATTTGTGGCATTTCTTGTTCAGAAACAAATAAGATTTATCACTTGTGGAATTAAAGGTAAAAATCCCGGCCTACAAGTGCTAAAGAGTAAATCAAGTTCATAAAACTCTACCACTGAAATGCAGTCACTTCTGGATTGAAGGAAGTCAGCACAGATTGCAACACAAAGTGACATACAGGGAGTACTAAAATGGCATATGGAGATTGTTTGGGGAAGGAAATATTTATTGAGCACTGAAGTATGCCATAAGCTCTTTACTGTTCTCTGATGTCAAAGTCTGATTTCTTTTTAATAGTTCAATGCTATGTAACATCGAATTCAGCTTTCAAAAACTTTTTTTACACTGCACTTTTATGTTGTTTAAAATGGTGAATAAGGTGAGTTATTTTTGTGAATGTGTATTTTATAGTTATTATATTCCTCAGCAGTAGTATTACCTCAAAAAATATATTTCATTTCTAATTTCAGCAGAGGGTATGCATAATATGCATACTGGAATTAAACATATGTGGTTTTCTCATTTTGCTCAAGTCCCTTACAAAAACCATTCGTGAGATCCTTCAAATAGGCAAATAGTGTGGAAACAAGGGATACAGTTTCCCTTTCCACCTTGCTTTAGACCCAGCAGATCTGTATATATCCATTTTTATACCAGCTGATACCGGCTGGTCTGCTGAAAAGTGTAAAACAAAACAATGAAAACAAAATGAGGGGAATATTACTTTTCATCCAGGAGAAGTAACAAATGATCACAGCACAGAGTTCTTCTTGAAGAATTTCTTCTTTAAAGACCCTATTTACCAACCTCTCCTCAAGGAAGGGAGAGATCTGATGGTAAAGATCCTAGGAAATTATAATATTCTAGTGAAAATGTTGTTTATTCTGGGCTAAGAATGAGCCATGTATAGTTATTTATAAGGTACATATTTTCAGCGTGTCTATGTGTTAAGAGAAACCAGTAAAAAGTATTTTACATGGATATTGAAAATTAACTTTTCATCACAATTTCCAGTCCAGCTAATATTTTACAAAAACGAGAAGGGCTCATTTGCATTTTATTCAGTTATTTAAAGAGAAGCATTCAATCACATTAATGATTGCCATGTTTTTGGGAGAAAATTCTATCCTCTATGTTTTCTTGTATGAAATGGCCACGATACCCTAACATACTTCCTTGCCTCACAGGTTAGAGTTCATATTGTATAGTCTCCCATTTTCTAAACTGAGTTATGGTGTTACTACTTGAAACACATGAAGAAATGGAAGTATGAATGGTAAGGTTTGTTGAAGACCACCTTAGAGGAAGGATGCACATTAGATGATTTTAAATGATCTGGGTGACGACTTGGCGTCATTTCAAGATTGCTTACACAAAGTTATGTGCTAATTTTTCCTATAATTCATTTTTTGGTAAATAAGTTTTGAGACCTCTGACAGAGAAAGCTAGTCTGACTTTGGAATTAAACCAAATAATGGATATTATTAGTAAGATTCTTTGCTACAGTACAAAAATATTTCTCCCAGATTTTCCTACCTTCATATTTATAAAATTGGTGGGGAAGTTTCCTTTAGTAGCAAGATAAAAAATGACCCAAGAAATCCTTGTCTTTTAATTATACAAGTTCTACCAATATTTTTTAAAGATTAAGTCATATTCTTTGAAAAACTCTTTATGTGGTGCTAATATACTTAGAAAGCTACCAGCAAATATCACATATTAAAATGAACAGCTTAAAAACCTGATTAAGGTTGGTGCATTGTATAGTATTTTGAAGAATCCTGTCTTCATTTATTACAAGGATTGCTCCAAGCCAATATACTTGCATTATAATTTTCCAGTAATCTCTTATGAACAAGCAAAAGTATAGCATTCATCAATTATTTAAAGCAGTTTGGAAGGTTTAGACATTTATTTAGGATTTAAAAAAAACAGATACAAGCTAAATATGTATAGTGAAATATCTAGGTTTCACACTGTTTGATAAATGTAATTTTGGTTAGAATGCATTATGATTGTTTTTATGATGATATGTATACTCTTATTTGTGTTCTTTATTAAGTGGTTTCTCCTCAATCTTTTCTGGTGAATTAAATAACTAGTATTTATTTGAAAATACAATCCTCAAATTAATTGGTCTCAATCTATTATATTTGTTACATGGCCAAATCCTATTATAGTGAATTTCTAAAGGGATCCAAATTGTTTTTTGTTATAGAAATAAGCAGGAATTAGATGGCCTAGAAGTCTCTCATAAAATATTTTTTATTATAATAGTATTTATTTTAAGTAATTTTACCACATATGCAAAATACTGTGTGAATATAAATAGGTTCTGATTCATTTCACATCCATTTGATCATTTAAAAAGCTTAAATTTAAGAACACCATATTTTCATTTAAATCTGCTACGGTATAAATATTGCTTTTAATGAACATTTATTAGCTAGGATTTAGCTTCACTTTGAACTCAGATTTTTTTTTTGCAAGCCTGGGGGAGTTTATCAGATTCTTATTAATCTTTTCAGCATATTATCTTCCCCCTTTTAAGAGTCAAGTATTATTCACTTTGCTTCTTACAACACAGGATATTAAAATTCTCCTCTATTTTATGTAGCACTATTCACCTAACATTTTTTAAAGCACTTTACAAGATATAAAAATAGTACCCAGTAAAGGTAGAAGAAAACAAAAGAACTTTCAAACAGAAATTATGTTCCCTGCCACCTCCTCCACCTCAAAGAATAATAAGCATGTGGCACAAATGGAGTTCTTCATATAAAAGCTGTCTGCATAATTTTCTTTCAAGATAATATATTTGACAGCACAGAGTTTGCAATGATCTTAATTGGGCTACTATGCAGTGGAGTCTTTAGAAACTTTCTAATTTACTTTTGAGAACTTGTATTATTTCACCAGTATATGTGAAGAAGCATCTTGCTAAAGGTTGTTTCAGAGATCATGAGAGGGCTCCAGTCAAATCTGCATGCATTCCAGAGTTAATTTTATCCATAAATTTCTAACTAACTTCAAGTTGCCTTACTTTTTAAAGTTAAGATTTTTTTAGGGTTTTACAGAATTTTAAAAATAATTGTGAGACTTTAGAATCTTATTGTTCGAAAACATCCTTTTAATGTCAACTTTACTGAAAAAAGTCTACTTTCTAATTTCATCTGCTATTAAATACATCAGGGTTTGATTTTTCTGCCTGCTATTTTTGAATCCCTTAAGTTTTAGAGTTCTTTAGTTTCAAATTCCTGTGTTTTATTGTGTAACATGAGGTTTCTTACAATTCAAAATATCCTCCATAGTACATTTTATGAAAGATATTTTAAATAATGATCCTTATTTAGTTACATTTATTAGAATGAAGCTTCATAAAACTTATGTGTGCAGATTAAATACTATTTAATTCAGCCTCTGTTAGGCATTACACGTGCCAAACATTTTGATAATGGAACAGGTTCTCTGCTTTCCAAGAGCTCAGTTTAGGGAGCAGGACAGCAGAAGCTGGGACAGAGGTTAAGGCAAAGAGCCACAGACAGTGCAGCAACATGAGGCCAGATAGGGAAACAGAGAGTAATTTTGGGTTGTGTGGGGCAAAGTGTCATCTGAATACACTAGCAGTTTCAAAATAGTTAAACAGTATATTCATTCTGAATTGTGCCTAGGTACAGAAAAAGGCCTGCATAACGTTACATATTTATAGTAGTTCATTGTCTGTAAAAATGTTAAGTGGATGAGCTATTCTGAAAGTCTTAAGAATTCCATTTGTATTTCTCATTGAAATTGGTATTGTATTACTGTGGATCAGATGTTAGTATTAAATAAATAATACTATGAGAAAAAGGTTTCAAGCTGAATTAATTTAGATACTAATTATTAATAAAGAATGTTTATTTATCCACAGCTTTAAAAAATGGTAAATTATGTTCACTTCATAAAACTATAAATATCATACTGATAAAACCACTTTGTTAGCCTTACCAAAAGTTCCACTCAGCTGATTGGGCATCAGACAGACTTTATATATGTGCCTGAAGGAGTCTACTTTCAGCAAGAGACATAAAAAGAGAACTAGAATTCTTAACTAATTCAACCTAAAGGGAAGTTCTGAATGTGATGCCACCTGTGAATTTAATGAAAACTGGGAGGCTGGGGGTGTAGAGCTCAGTGGTAAGAGCTCTTGCTTAGCAATGCAAGAAGTCCTGGGTTTGCTCCCTAGTGCTGCTTAACAAAACAAAATAATAATAGAAACAAAAAAGGCAGTTTTCATCCTTTCTTGCTATATACTCATTAGTTGTCTTTTCTGAATTATATTAATCTGATTTCTTAATGATCTTTATGGTTTCCCAAATAATCAAGCCATCTTGATGTAAAAAATGCTTAAATTATCCAGGTAGTACCGGTTAAGGCTGGGTGTGTCAAAAGTTCTGTGACTACTAAGACACTGATTCATACTGCTAACATAATGCTGGTTTTTCTTAATTACAGCCCAATAATAATATTTGGGCTCTATGAAAGACTTGGACCCATTTAAAAGTTGATGGTACCTTCAAAGTCCTAAAACTAAACCTAGTTCCAGTTAATGTCTTTTTTTTTTTTGTAGATGGACACAATACCTTTATTTTATTTATTATTTTTTTAATATGGTGCTGAGGATCAAATCCAGTGCCTCACATGCTAGGTGAGCACTTTACACTGAACTGTATTTTTAAAAAATATTTATTAGTTGTAGTTGGACACAATACCTTTATTTTATTTATTTTTATGTGGTGCTGAGGATCAAACCCAGGGCCTCTCACATGCTAGGTGAGCGCCCTACCACTGAGCCACAATCCCAGCCCCTCCAGCTGTAATTTTTATATTTTTAGAGACAGGGTCTCGCTGAGTTGCTTAGCGCCTCACTTTTGCTGAGGCTGGCTTTGAACTCAATATCCTCCTGCCTTAGCCTCCCAAGCTACTGGGAATACAGACTGCGCCACTGCACCTGGCTCAGTTATCAAATTTTTAAAATTTTCATCAAATTACATATTTCTAGAAATATATACTACCTTTTGCAAACTTGTCCTCACAGGCAACTCTGCTAATCCCTGTTAAAGCCACCTTGGCTCCAACTGTTTTGTGAGTTCCTCCCCCACTTCCAGTTTAAGCTTACCAAAGGTTGTTCCTGAGCTCTACAAAAAATACATGTGTGTTTGTACATGTACACATGACACACTGTCAGAACTGCAGTGAATTCTCAGCAATGTTGGGTGCAGGCACCATAAAAAAGTAAAACCTAGAGAAGATGGTGATAGCTCCTAGCTTGGAAAACTCCTAGCCTTAAAACTGATTTTCAACCTATTATAACCATGGTAGCAGTCCCTAGCGGTTTCTGTACATCAGCAAGACTAAACACTTTCCTCACCATTTGCTTTGTAACTAATCTTAAAAAGGACTTTCAGCCTTGACCTTTATGACACTGCAATTATGGGGCAGGATTAAGCCTTTCATATATTTTTCATAGGTGAACTTGGGGCCATAACCAGGGTCTTCCACTTCTGCCCTCCTGGGAGATTGGGTGCAAATAACTGCATATGTTTCCTAAGTGCTAGGGATTGAACCCAGGACCTCATGCATGCTAAGCACACACTCTGCCCTGAGCCACACTCCCAGCCCTGTATCTAAATCTTTTATCCCCAAATCCCTGCTTTAACATCTGTATCTTTGGGTCACACAGAAATGTCTGGCCAATATGGTCACTAGGGGGACTCTGGGATACCCTGGTGATCCATCACCACAGCTAACGCAGCTATAGGCATGCATATGTGTGCTCATCAAATAGCCTCACGTATAAATTTCAGGACACAGGTTTCATGTGTAATTGTCATTTGCAAAATCAGGTATTTAGGCAGAATATCTCTAAGTGTCATACAAAATTGAAGTATTTCTATTCTCCTAACAGAATGACTAAAGTAGAATTGCCCTTAAATGCTAGAAGGCTGAGATGTATAGAATGCCAAAATAAATGGTCACTACACAATTCAGATGAAAAAAAATGAACTGGATTTTCTATATTTTATCCAAATATGTCACAAATAGCCTTGTCAGCTATTTCCCTGATTTCAGCATGAATTTGCATAGAATTATCTCTAATTTTCTGAGTTCTCTCTATGTGCTCAATATCTGGCTGATGCGTTTCTCCTGAAAGATGATGAATAACTGTGAATAATAGCAATCATTAAGTTTTGTTAAACTCTAATAAGACTTTTCTGTATTTATCTGAGTGGTATGCATCTTTTTTCATTAAGCCATACTTTACAAACAGTAAAAAAAAAAATCCACCTATTTGTAGCGTATAACAAATTTTGACAAGTCTTTAAACTTAAATCTTATTATGACCTCTATACCATCTGTGTATTTACACATAATCTGCAGGGCCATCATGGTGGCTGAGTGTAGCCATCAAAGTTTGAGAGGTCTACAAAGAGATGCGTAAAATTTTTTTAAAAAAGTCTTCCCTTTATATGCCTTTCCTCCCATACTTTAAAATACTGTGGTTGGAAAAAAGAGGACAGGAACCACTTCACTCATAGTATGAGACTGCATAATTGTGAGAAAGGGGAAGTGTTCGGAAATGAGAACTGACTGGCTAAGAAAATTTTTTATATCATTTCTCTGGAATCTTTGGTCTGCATTTAAAGACCTTTCCCCTTCCTTATGCAAATGTTTCATTTTCTCATTCAAAAAGTTAACAGATGAATATTTGCTGAAGAACCATTACAGTTTATTTAGATTTCCTTCCCTACAAAGCAGTTTCTACAAATCTCAGTCCCTCCCATCTCCCATTCCTTTGTTTTGTTTTTAACCTACATATTTAGAACAAAGTATCATATGTCATATGTCTTCAGAAAAACAGGCTAAATTCATAAGGTCTCATTCTTCAAAGACTCACTAGGTACACACAAATCTGATGTGGGACTTTCTGAAACTCAGTAAAAACACAACTATAGCTGGTGAGGGACACCTTCTCCGGCTGCCTCCTTCCATAAGCCTCTCCCTGGCTCTGAGAAGGGAAGGGACTAGTGCAGTGTACAAGGAATCCCTCCCAGTGCACTGCTACTCACTCCTTCAGACTTCTGACAGTAAAGGACAACGGTAAAGGGTTACTTTATTTCTGTTATTTTAATTTGATATCACCAAGTTGTTTCAATGGAAAAAGTATAACATTGTATAAACATTGGAAGAAAATTTATCTGAGGGAAATGGGTTCATTTTCCAAGTTGGCTCATCAACTGTGAAATAAAACTGAGGAAAGCAATTGGTGGCTAGGTATTAAGTTCTAGGAGAAAACTAACAATAACCTTGTAGTAGAAATGGGAACAAATTTAAAAGACAGACATTGACTAATTTTTGGAAGGCAAGAAGAGCTGAGGGTAAGAGGATTCCATTAAAGAGAAAGGAATTCTCAGCTTACTCAGACTAGAACTAGATGGAAGGAAATGAGGAAGAAAAAAAAAATACCACTGTAGTGAGCAGCTGAACCATAGTTGTAAAAGAAATTAAATGGTCTGCCTCAGATTGTGGATGTGAAAAAAAAAAAAAAAGCAAGGAATCATTTTCTCAAATGTCTCCATTTTCTCAAATCCCTTCACCAGACAAAACATCAACTGAATTTGACACCTGATCAGAAGAGCCAACATGACTGGACCAAAATCCCATGACCTTTGGTTAATGACTTGTAAAAATCCTCAGAAATACTCAATATTAAAATAAAAGTGGGATGCTTTAAAAAGTTATCTACTGATATGATATTTACATGTAAAGTGGAGGCATCCTAATCAAAGAGGGATGTTAAGATATTGTAATACCTAACTTGAAATTTTAGGAAAATCCTGACTATAAAGTAAAGGCAGATCCAGAAGTAGCTAACAATTAAGAGTAACACCAAACTTGGTGCATTTTTCAAAAGTACACTGGTGCCACCTTTTGGCCAATTGAAAATTTACAAAAAAAATTTTTTAATATTTATTTTTTAGTTATAGGTTGTCACAATATTTTATTTTTATATGGTGCCAGGGATGGAACCCAGTGCTTCACGCATGGTAGGCGAGCACTCTACCCCTGAGCCACAACCCCAGCCCCCAAGATTTACAAAATTATAACCTACAATCCCATTTTAATTTCACCAAGAGAATTTAGAGACAACAATTATTTCATTCAAATAGTATATGAATAGATTTAAAACTGTTCCAATTAATACACCTCTGATTTTTAAATAATCACATTTTTAATTTTTTATAATCTGGGGGATAGGATAATACAAATAGAATTCAGTTCACAACAAACATATCACATACTCCATTAAAATAATAATTAACTTCAAAAATAATTGGGATATAAATCTTAAAATAAGTTTCTTTGCATCCTTTAATTCCTGACAACTACCACAAAACTTACATTAGGCTTTTACACTAGGGTTGGTCAACCTCAGCTCCATGGACACTGAGCTGGGTGGTTCTTCATTGTGGGAGGCTATCTTCTGCACTGTAATATTTTTAGCAGCATCCGTGATTGACACCCATTAAATGCCAGTAGCAACCTTCCCTTATCTCCTAATTCAGTAGATGACCAAAACCATCTCCATACTGCCAGATGTTACCATGGAGAAGGGGATATCTCTGTGTGCTGGTTAATGTCTGAACTTGACTGGATCATGAAGTATTCATATATTTAGTCAAACAGTATTCTGGGTGTCTGTAAGCATTTTTTTTTTTTAATTTAGGATACTGATCTCCGGTCTTTGGATGAATATTGAAATACTGGCGTGGGTCTCAAACCTGCCCAATTTTGAACTGGAACTTCTGCCATTAGCTCTACTGGTTTCAAGGCCTTTGCACCACACTAGAACTACACCATTGGCTCCC